GTTTATTTATGATTTCATTTTTTTTTTTTGATGTGTAGAAAAAAAAATATTCCGAAAAGTCGTTGATTTAAATGAAGGTAAAAGAGTCAATGGACGTCACTGAAAATTGTGTGCTTCATACCCGTTTCTTTTCGTTTGTTTTCTGTGTGTGATCGACTGACTCGCTAATAAATAATAAAATAAATTTTTTTGGGGGTCACACGGCATGCATTCGTGCAATTCCTCGTATAAAGTTCACGTTGTAAATTTTCATTCCACAATGAATGCTTAAGTCCATACCTGGAATTGTGTTATGCTGATGATGAAATGTGATGCACATATTTTAAGCGATGACGCGTTTGTGTTTGTGAAGAAAGTTGCAGATAGGTAAAGTTTAATGAACTACCCAAGGATTTCGACCCTGATGATTCAAGTATCAATGAATGATAAAGTTGTGTTGTCACTTGAAAAATATCCATTAATTCATTATTACACAACCCTATTGAATGGCTTCTTCTCGTCATTACTTATTCGTCATGTATACGCTTACTGAATGCTGCTGCTTTATGATTTTTAAATGATATTTTTTCTAAATAAAGACAGTGGGAAAGATATCAATGGGATGCACCAGGGTTTTGGGGATAAAAATATTTTGAACTCTCAGTTCAGATTAAAATTTATTTGGCAATCTGCTGAGCTTCTTAGTACGCCTTAATAGGTCAGAGATAGAGGATGCGACTGAAAATTGTGAGGAGTTGACTTCTAGTCAAAACTAAGTTCCAGTCAAGTAAAAACCCTAGCTACAGCACTGCAAATAAGATATCATTTTCTCATTTCTTCCCTTCCTTTGTGGACTCAAAATTTTTAAATCATTTCGACGAAATGTATTAATTAAATCTGCTGCACAAGTTGTGTAAAGAAAGAAGAACCAAGGCGAAAAAAAAATTATAAGAGCGAGAAAACAAAACAACGAAAAAAAATTGTATTAAATTGCTTAAAATTTCTCTGCATTTTATTGTACAACAGCACAGTCAAAAGAGATGCAAAAAAGAAGAATATTTGAAATAAAATTTATTACACACTGCGAACTTCTTAATGCTTAGCAAACAACACGAAAAAAATAAGAAAGATTTTTTTTTTTTTTATATTTTTTGCTGTGTTTTTCCTGCTCGTGTTGAGGAATTCCTTTTGGATCGATTTACAAACTCTTATTTTTCATCTTGGAGAATTAGAATTTTTGCACATTGTGAGAAGTCATGAGAAAAATAAGAAGTCGAAAATATATAAATCACATTGGAACTTAAGAAATTATATTTGATTCTTATTCATTCTGTTGCATCGAATTTGTTCTGAATTCTTCAAGACTCGAGATTCTTTTATGTCTCTTGAAACGTGGGACTGAGCTGTCAGTCACCACTTCCAAGTTATTTTCATCATTTGGAATCCATTAGACTCACTAATGTACTTATAAATGACATCATTAAAGTCGCAATCGGAAAAATATTGCAGTTATTATCTTAACCACAACAATAATACGTTTATTGCATTTTCGGATAGGCTATAAAATGTTTAAAATTGGCGTCTTATCTACTTATCAAGTCAAGTGGCAATACTTATGATTATGAATGCTTCTGTTGCAATTTTCATTATTTTAACTTAGTTGTTTCTAGTTTTGAGGAGATTAATTAATGCTTTAGATCCGAAGTAGAGTTGAATCTGCTGAAATGCACAGTAAAAAATTTCTTAGTCCAAGAGTAAATGAAAAAAATGAAGATTTCTCATAAAAGTTTTTGTTCGATAAGTTCTATAAGTGACAACCCCTCAATCATTACCAACAGAATCAGTTTGGTATGACAAAGGTAGGCAAAACACATTCAAAATATTACAACATCTAATAAGGAAGAGGATATGAATCTGAAATTCTACAGTTTGAAGGACGTAACAACTAAACAACCCCTTTAGATACCTCCATGAATAAAAGAATCATAAAAATTTAACTTCTTCGCTGATCTACACAACCACCACCATAACAATAGCAATTCTATGATGCTATAAAAGCGTATGTTAAACGAACTAAGAATGTATACAGAATAAGAATGTCCATAGAGGTTTATATTGAAAGAAGAATATGTTTATTGTGTAGGAATAGCTCGATGAAGAATAAGGTGACCTTGATTTTTTTCTTCTCTTCGTGCCTTCTTCTTCTTCTTTTTGTTTGCCATTCTCTCATGCCGGTTGTGAGATTTTTCCTTTCAATTTTAATAGTCGTAGCTATTCTCCCCTCTTCTGTAAATTGCATATTTTCACTGTAATTAGCGAAATTAATTATATGTGCATGAATTCTAATACATGATGAGATTTGGATCTTAAGTACATTTTAATAACAAGGATTAAGCATAAATTAATGCAAAAACACTTTCGTTCTAAAAGTTAATGCATGTGCATCACAATCACAAACAATATATGTTAGAATATGCAGCACAAATACATCTTCTTGCTAAAACAGAGCCAAGATTCACAGAAAGATGAAATTTAATATCATGATGCAACACACTCATTTCTGCGTCTTATCTTTCTACCCTTTTTTATCCACACATTTCACTGCTGTCTTTCTTTCCATCTATTATACACATGCATGTGTTATTATTGCACAAAATTGCATTTTGCTTCAAATTGCTTTGCTGTTTTTTTTTCTTTATTCTTTTCACTTCTATGGGAGTCGTATGATTGTTATGTCCAATGTTTAGAGATGTGTTAATCATATTACGCAGTGTATTTGATACATAAATCTTGTGCAGTTATTTAGAAATTGATTTTGATACGCAAGAAATTGTAATTTGATTATTCAGGATACAAAGTAGTCTACCCAGCAACTTTTCTTGAATCAGCGGCTCTTAAGACTTGCGGTCTCATGTTCTTCCTGCTAAGCTATCGAATGTTTCTCTTCTAAACATGGCAATTTAATAACTTCAAATATAAATCTGCTTTGAACAATTTTTTTGGTTCTATTTTGGTGTGGTTTTGCTTAGGCACCTCCAAAAATTATTAAATTTAACAAATGAAAATTAGAATTGTCAAGATTTGAACTTAGAATCGCTAAGTGTAACCATATTAAAAATATTATATTTCAAGTTTTCCGATTCACTTAATCTCACATATAAAGAGTTGCAGGACGTCTTATAAAACTAATTTTAAGCTAAACGTCATTTACGAACGACCCCTGCTTAGTCTTGCTCGTTTGATAATATGTTTAGAACAAATAAAAGATGTTTCATGTTATTTACATTCATCTGATTCCGCTTTTACCGCGCCGTTTTTCATTCTTGACGTCAACTGGAAACATTTGGTGAAGGAAAATAATTCTTATGCCTCTCTCAACCGTCATTCTCCTGTGTTTTAAAGACAGCGATATGTACACATTTTTCATGGGCACTTGCATTTCTAGATGATTTATGTATTAAAATAATGCAAAACAACAACAGACAACAAAAAAAAAAGTGAAAATGTGCAGTCTTTCATATGGAATTGGAATTGAAATTGAGAACACACAAATGAAATGAAGGCGAAGATTTTGTGAATTTTGATAATGGATTTTGACTTGAAAATGATGATGGGGGGAAAATGAAGAAGACAGAAAAGTGCTTCAAAAGCACAAGATGTAAAAAAAGAACTGCAACAAATTCTGCCTCATATGTCTGGAGATTCGGGATGAGAGATTAAGGGGGATTTTTCAGACTTTATTTTCTTCTCTCTTGTTACTTAAAATATTCGACAAAGAGTTGTTGAAAAATTTATGAATTTATATTGAGTGTGTGTGCTCATTATAAATGTAAGGAAAGAAGAACGAATTGGGAACCTTTTGGCCTCAGTTGGATTAGCTGAGGAATAAATGTAAAATTTATTTATTTATTTTTAGCGAATTTTAAGTCTCGCTTCATGCTGATTTTCCAGACAGTTGTCAAAGAATAAATTTTAATTTCGGAAGGTCACTTTTAAACAAAGTTGCATCCATTAATTTACCCCAAATTATGTCTTCCAATAATAAATGCCTAATGAACAACCAAACAGCCTGACTTCGAAGGAGCTGATTTATAATCGCAAAAAAACACACAATGCTACACAAATATTTCGCGAATATAAATATTCTCGTAATTGATTCTGCTTGTTCTTTTTTAATGGCGTGATGTTGATAGATTCTATTCTATCCAACAATAGTCTCATATTAGAATTATAATCTCGATATTTCAAGTTGAGCTGTTTCTCCTTTTGACATGAGAAGGTGACTTTAAAATTCTAGATTTTAGGGGAAAATGCTGAAGTTAGGTTATCTGTAACCAGTATTTCTAGAACTAAGGTCAAACCTAGACTCATGATTAAAAATGTGGTTCAATAAAATACTGTTGACGTAACTTATGAACTTTCCCGCAAAACAATTCTAATTCCCTCTTCTTACTCACTTGTTTGCTCGTGTACGAGTCAATCAGTTGATTCATGAGACTGCATGATCTTGGACTTTTTGTGTGATACTCTCATATTTCTTCAACATTCCATTCGTGGAAATAATGTGAGACATGCATGTGATAATATTCAGAATGAAAGTTTATTTGGATGCAAATTATTTATGATCAATAATTTTTTCACAATCTTTAAAAGATTTAAAGTTCACATCCTTTTATGGCGGTGGCAAAATCGATTTTGATTGCTTTTTATATTTAATTTTTTCATCCACAAAAAGAAGCGAGACAGGCAGTCAAGACGAAGAGTTAATGTATGTGACTCAATTCGAATTAATTCCAACATTTCTTACTAGTTCTTTGTTACTTTGCAATCACTTTACATTACCTTTTACGACATCTGGAGAGAAATTATAAATCTCTGATTCCTTCATCTGGTTGTTTTTCGAGCTAAAAAACCCACACTCGAAATAATTCGCATCACATGTAGAACAATTTAATTTTTAATAACATACAATTTTTCATGGTAATTAATTTCTGACCTTTTCTTTACTTCTGTCTTTTCAGGCATAGATTCATCATTATTAGGACATATGGGTCCTTTATCTCCGCCAGATCTTAAACCAGACATTTCACTTTTGAATTGCAATAATAATAATAATAACACAAATAATAATAATAGTAACAGTAGTCATAATAACTTAAATCATCACAATACATCACCCATACCAGTTCTTGGTGCGAATACCTTCTCGCCGATACAATCTCTCAACAATAATGGACCGAGTAGTCCGCTCAGTTCCATCGGCAATGGGAGTGGTTCAATATGTACATTCAATCAGATCAAACTTCAGTCACCGTCTCCTTCAAACGCATCATCCTCATCAACACTCAGTGGACCTCTAACAACAACACCTCCAGCAACAAATGCAAATAATATTCTGGGAATGGGCAATGGCAATGGTGGATCAGCTAATGGAAAACAAAGTCAGTATCCGCCAAATCATCCGTTAAGTGGATCTAAACATCTCTGTTCTATCTGTGGTGATCGGGCTAGTGGCAAACATTACGGGGTATACAGGTAAGATAGCAGCGATAGCACTTTATTATGCACATGTTCAATCACGACTTACATTTATGAATGTTGTGTGGTCAGCAACTGCGCAGTACAACTTAAACTCGCTTGAAATTGCCCAAAGAAAGTCACTAAGAATTCTTTTAAACAAAACCTGGTTCTGCAGCAGATCAGAATTGTATAGTATAAAAATTCTTCCAGTCACTACGCTATGTCAAAGTAGTATATGCATTCATGTCTTTAAAATTACGTCGAACATGCTTAAAAAGTGTCAATATTCAAACTGCTAATGAAAGACACAACTATCGAACAAGACAGAGAGAAAATTATGTCATTCCAGCTACTCGTACCCAGTTAGGTAGTCAAACGTTCTTCATTAGAGGGCTAGTATTGTACAATTCTCTCGAACAGACAGTTAAGAACAAATTTTCAATTAGTTTATTTAAATCTAGGGTTAAAGAATATTTCTATAAGACGTATTGTGATGCTAATAATAATAATAATAATAATTTTTAAGAACAAAATGCACTATGTAGCCAAATGTGATTTAATTTTGTAACACAGCCATTTGGATACTTACAAATAAAATGAAATACAAACCAAAATATATTCACAAAAAAAATTTTGTGTGAATATGAAAAAAAGATCGATATTGCTGATTGATGATTTACTTGCATTTTATTGATTCTGTTGAAATATTGAGAAAGACTAGATAGAGGGTTTGGTAAACTAGTGTATCGTGGCACAAACTCAATTATCTTATAGTTCCAGTTATTTATGCTCAATTCAAATATGACTCAAAAGATTGTCAGGCACTAGACTAAAACGAAGAGGATTTAAGCTATTAATGAGATCAGTCAATAAAGTTTCTATTAGCTTGACTGTAAAAAATGCATTAAGTAACTTGAGCTATTCATATTAATGACTATTGACTTGTTATTCCAAAAGGTTTTAGTAAGAACGTGTAGAAATGTCAAGATTCTTTTAAGGTCATATTGTCGTAGGCGTTTTTGGTGATAAGAATTAAAATTTAAGCACTTAAACAAAAGGAATCCATTAAATCATATCATGTTAAGAACGTGAATCACATACTTTATGTATTGGGCTTATTGCGTTTCTTTAATAATATAAATGCTTGTGTGTTAATACACGAGTCTTACTAAATATCACTATACGTATGTAAATAAGCGCGCTATTTCATTATTTAAGTAACGAAGAACTTGTTCATTCAGCACTATGTCGTGAGTTTTATATATATTAAAAAAAAGATTATTATATATTATATAGTGCACAAGTTATTAAATAACAGGCAAGAAACCGGTAATAAGACTAATAATGCATGTGCAAGCGTATTTATGTGCAACTATTTGCAATCTTTTTATATATTTTATTTTATTTCCATGCTATCGTGTCTCGATGTAAAGCCATGATATTGAATTTTATTTTTTATTACCTTAACCGTTCACGTAACCTTGAAAAATTGAAAACTATTAATACATATAGCTGCATATAAAAAGTAGAGAAAAAAAAAGTTGAGTAAACAAATGTGGAAAGAAGGAATAATAATGAAATAGGTACATTAATTGAGAAATAGAACATTTAAATGCATACGAAAAATATTTCACAATAATGCTGAGATTGCCCGATTTGACAGCTCAATTTTCATTTGCTTATTTTTCACAAATATGAAATAGTAAAAACTTATTAATTTGCAAAATCAGCACATCAACATTGTCGTACGAGGAAAAATAGTTTACTTAATGTCACGCTCAATAATATAGTAGGTGATAATGATGATGATATATAGACGGAATTTCATAATACTTTCATGTTTGAGGAAACAGGAAAAATACAGGAAATCGTTCTAATAACATTGAGTTACTTACTTTGTAAGAATAAAGTCTTATGAGTCAGAAAATAAGTTTTGAGTGATATTCTAATGATTTGAATGCTTCGATTGATTCTTGAGATTTAGATTTGAATCAAATCTTTTCAAATGCTTCAAGTTCTTAGACTTAAACTTACTTAAAATGATATGCTAGAGAGCAACTTAAGGCTGCTAAAGTCATGAAACCTTGTTCCAATCAAATAGTTATTTTTGAGGAAATAAGATAAATTTTTGTTCTAACCTTTAAATAATCAAAGAACAAACCAGAACAAAACAAACATTTTCGAAATCATTTCCTTTCAACACCAAACTGATTCTCATTTAGCTCCACACCTTATAAATGATAGTGAAACTTTTAAAATTGAGTAACATGCTAAAAGAAAGAACACATGAATGAAAAATGAAAACAAACAATTTCTAATGCTCGAAAGTAAGGCATAGAAGAGAAAGAGAGAAATGATAACATGTGTATAATACATAGAGAAAAAAATAGATGCAAATTTCGAGAGATGAGAAAATAGAGAAACATACAATATGTATATAAAAAACATGCAGGCTGAATGAAGTCACTCGGTCATAGATACAAGACACTTTTCTATGTATTTTTTTTTTCTCATTTTATTTGATTTGTTTATTAATATAAAATTGTTTATTGTGTGTGATAAACAGCAAGCACTCATGCCTTTAAGATTTTCATATCGAAGCTTGTCATCTTGGATGTGTCAAAATTCATCATCATTATTTCTCTATTATTCTTTGTGACAGGCGCGTAAACATTGTCTCAATTTCCATTTTTTTCGTGGGCATTGCAAATGAAATAGAAAAAGTCAATCACGACAAGCAGGCAGGTAGATAGCAAAAAAAAAGTATCTAAATAAAATGAGGGGACTTATTTGCTTCTGATGTATTACTTTTTGGGGTGTTGAGGTTTTCTTCCCTAGAATTGAGAGCAGATTAGGGCGACAATCATGAGCGACACAAAGTATTGACTAGGGCACGTCCTAGAGTCTTGTCGCTAGAGTAATAGGTTCAGGTAACACAAGGTTCGATTTAAGAGCAATATTAGCTCCTAGTAAACATTACAGCGAACGGATCCCAAAAAAAAACTCAATTCATGATTGACATCACTTTTGAATGCCTCCTCAAAAAGGGAGGATTTTTTTTTTGTGGAGACGAAGAAAGTCGACCACGCACTTTTAAGCTAGAAGAACAAAATGTTTATGCATGACTGTGATGATGAAGAGAATAAATATAGAAAAGTTTCCATTAAGTTCATCAGAAGTTGCGACTAATTTACTGTCTATCTGTCTACAAAGTCGACGCGATGAAGTAGATGTGTTTGGCAATGAAAAGTATGAAAATAAATACATGCAGAAAAAAATTATTTAAATTTACTATATTCTATTATGAATACATTGAAAAGTTAAATAGATTTGTTGTGTATGGAAATATTTTTGTAGTTAAAGTCAAGTTAAAGTTCAAGTACCCGTGAAATAATTCGACTGGTCAGTCGGCATTTTTTCATTTGTTGTTGGCTGTGTTTGTAGTCAATCGATTTATTAATTTTTCTCACTCTCTCTCTTTCTGCCATCTCGTTCGATACGCATTTTCATAATTTGTGACGTCATGGGCATTTGTGTATTTTATATTTAGACTACATTGGACTTGACTAGCTTATGGTTTGTTACATCATAATTTATGTGACTATTTTTCATTCTGAAGGTTGCGAACTGACGCATTTTTTGAATTCTTCTGAGCTGATTTTAAGGAATTCCCGAAAAAATATCTGACCGTTAAATTAATTTTTGAATTTTAAACTTAGAAATTCAAATTTCATTTGACGGTTATTAATGTAAAATCTTTATATAAAATAAATTAAAAAAGCCTAATGTGACAATGTGCTGACAAAAAATAATTAATTGTCGATCATCCATCAGTTTGAATTCAGTTCCACACTGATAAATGCCGTAAATAAATGATTTTATCGTCATATAAAATGTATTCATTATTCTTCTATTTTCATAAACCATAAAAAATTTAGTTGTTATGCCTCTGATCATTACTACGTACAATAAAAAATATAAATCTATTAAACCCTCTAAAAACGTGCAGAATTAGCTTTTTGTTTTTTGCGTTCTCAACACACACCTGAACATTTTTTTAAAATACTTTATTCAAATAAAAGAACTGCTTACACTTATCATTATATTTAAAACATATTTATTTACCCCAAGTAAATATGGGTATATCCAAAGAAAGAATGACTCTTGATAGCAATTGAAAATAGTTGAAAACACAAAATTTCCATTCATTCTTCCGGCTTTATTTTTCCCCTTTGTGGAAGTGCTTGAAATGATTTTCAAGGACACCGATACAATAAAGTGTGTGTTTTGACGTTTTTTGTTTCGTTTCGTGTGTTTGTTTCGGAACGTTGCCCTCTACACGTTTCTATCTCTCTATCTTTCTCACTATTCGAATCTAATTCGTCATCATAGCCAAAAAAAAAATATTGTGTTGAGTAATTCTTTCATAATTGCTATGGTGTTGAATTTAATTAGCACACACGCACTCGGTTCCAATTCTATTCTTATTTGATACAATTTGACTTGTAGAATGACTAAACACAAATTTTAAGGCACGTTACTAATCTACTTTTTATTTCTACTTCTTTATAGTTGTGAGGGATGTAAAGGATTCTTCAAACGCACAGTACGTAAAGATCTGTCATATGCATGTCGAGAGGAGAGGAACTGTGTGATTGATAAGAAGCAAAGGAACCGTTGTCAATATTGTCGTTACCAGAAATGTCTTAATTGTGGGATGAAGCGTGAAGCTGTACAGGAAGAGAGGCAGCGAGGAGGAAAATCACATAAGGTAAATATATTCAAATTAATTTTTGGCTAGTTCTGACTCGATTCTGTTAACAGGGAGATGATATGAGTATATCGTCAACACAATCACTTGTAAATAATGGACCTGGACGTGACATCACAGTGGAACGATTGATGGAAGCGGATCAAATGAGTGAAGCAAGGTGTGGTGATAAGTCTATTCAATATTTACGTGTATCTGCGACAAACACAATGATTCCATCTGAATATAGGGTAAGATCCAAAATCCATAAGTGACATCTTTCAAATACTAATCTGATGTCCATCCATTTAGGCGCCTGTTTCAGCGATATGTGCAATGATAAATAAACAAGTTTTTCAACATATGGATTTCTGTCGACGACTGCCTCAATTCACGAAATTACCTCTCAATGATCAGATGTATCTTCTGAAACAAAGTTTAAATGAGTTGCTGATACTTAATATAGCTTACACGAGTATTCAAGTGAGTCCTAATTGCTTACAACTTCGGGTGGGTACTGATCTGATTCTATAGGGTTTCATGATCTCTCATTTGAGTCTTGGAGTCAGTTTCTCGGATATTTTCTGTGTGAGATATCATAAGCAACTGACTCCTATAATCCATAGCAGATTCCTAATGTCAAAGTTGACTAAGATCCGATTGTGACTGAAACATTGGGTATCTCCTACTAGACCAACCTTACTTGTAATATACAATTTATAAACTTTATTAAAACCTTCAATTTCTTACCCTTTACAGTATGTTGAGCCTGATCGACGGAACGCAGACGGATCACTCGAGAGGCGGCAAATTTCACAGCAAATGTGTCTCACACGTAATTATACACTTGGTCGAAATATGGCAGTTCAAGCGGGTGTTGTGCAAATATTTGATAGAATCTTATCGGAGTTAAGTGTTAAAATGAAACGATTGGATTTAGATGCTGCTGAGTTATGTTTACTTAAATCTATAGTTATCTTTAACCCAGGTAATTAGCCATGATAATTGTCAAATGAATATGATGTCACCAGCTAAGATATTGTTGCTGTTTATTCACAGATGTACGAACACTCGAAGATCGAAAAAGTATTGATTTACTTCGATCAAGAATCTACGCTTCACTGGATGATTATTGTCGACAGAAACATCCGAATGAAGATGGACGCTTCGCTCAACTGTTATTGCGACTTCCCGCCCTCCGTTCCATTAGTCTGAAGTGCTTAGATCATTTGTTTTATTTCCAATTGATCGACGACAAGAATGTTGAAAATTCAGTTATTGAGGAATTCCATAGACTTAATTAAGATGGTTAAGATGGACAGCAAGCGAAGGGAGTAGAAACTCATGTATTTTAATATTGTGTACATGTTTGAGGCAGCCAATGATGAAATATCGTGTATAATTTTTTTACGCTTACAATGATTCGTATCGTTTATTGCAAATTTTTATAATTAATTATATTAACTTTAAATTTTCAAAAAAAAAACTATCGATATTAATTAGACAAAAAAAAAATCATTTATTTTTATTCTTCTTTGACTGCGGGCTTTAGTGTAATTGGTTAAATAAAGGAAATTATTGATAAATATTTGAAGGATATTTGAATGATGAGAGGCGAAAAATTGACTTTTTCCATCCTCTAAACTTTAGTAAATGATTGAGACTGGACCCTTTTTTGTTTTTACATATATGTATATTTTTAGCTCTTGATCTTAACTTATTATTTTATAAATTTTTCCTTCTCTTAACGATGAAAATATCGAGGAGGGATTCAACTTGATTTTTTTGGTAATAATGCTTACTTACGAAGTTTGATGGAATTTGAGGTTATATTTGTAAATTTGATAATTTTTATCCTTGCTAACCTTGAGGGTATATATAGTTCATGTTAAAAGTATAGTCTAGGTTTACTTCAGACGAGCCACTCAATATGTGTCCTATAGAGATAACCCTAGGCTGTATCCTTAGACCATTCAAATCAATTTCTCGGACATACTAGAGAATATAGCTTGGATATACCCGAGAAATCAGACACAGATGTTGCCTTGTTAAGTTTTTTGCCTATTCTTAGAAAGCATCTGTGGTAGATCTATCATAAATAACGATAGACGTGATTCTTTTTGATTTAGGAATTATCACAAACATCAATTTTGTTGCATCTATTCTTTACATCCCAGCAAACAAATCTATCCAAGTAAGAACATTTTACAATAATTCTCAAGTTGAACGACCCCTGCAAGATCGTTTTATCGAAATTTTTGAACAAAATTAATTTTTCTTTAAATAAAAAATGATTGAAAAGTATGAAAAAACTAAAAAATTTGCTCGGGAACTTGAGGATGTCAATGAATGTCATAAGGTTGCTCAAAAAAAGGTTTCTTCCTGTTTTCGGACAAGCAAATGACTTTCTTGAATCCTTCGAAAAGTACAAAATAAAGTGCAAATACAGTTACAAAAAACTAATAAATGTAATAATGGCATGAAATAAAAGAAAAAAAAAAATATAATCTACATAATTATTAGCAGATTCAGAATAACATTATTTGTTAAAACACAGATTACTGGACAGAAATTTTAAGAGACAAAAAAAAAATTATGGAAATTCATACTAAAAATGCACTTAATTTTTTTACCTAAAGTTTCACAAACATTTATATTGTAAAAAAAAGAAAATCAAGTTTCTTAGGAAATAAAACATTGCACAGAACTTCTAACACAGATTAAAATCTTTCTTTTTGAGATCACACAACTAATATAAGACAAAAATAAAATTGTATCAAATATGCAGTTTAAAGTATTGACTATATTCGAATGAATGGAAAAATGAAGAAAAATCTATCTTATACCTACTTCAAGCTTTAGAGATTGCATGGAGATTTGCTTTTGAAATCCTAAAAATTTGATCAAATGTTGAAATGAGTTGAATTGAAACTTTATTGAAATATAAGTTTGGTTTCTGATCGAATTTTGATTAGGAAACTTAGTTTACACTGGAGGATATCTCAAAAAAGTTTAAAATTTTCAATTTTTGTGAATATGTTGTTTTTAAGATCACAGAAATGAGTACAAGGAATCTTTATGGGCTCCGAACTCTGTCAAAAGAAGTTGCTCGTAATAAAAAGTTTATTGGATATTTCAAAATATAGATGAACTGTAGGAAAGAAATCATATAAATGAATTCTAAACTCTCAAGATCTCTTTAAACTGAATTAACCAAGTTACAAATCTAAGTCAAAAAAGCTTATCCAAGATTTAAAATTGAAGCTAGAATTGAGCTTCATTAATCTCTAGATTCAATGATAAATTACATTTCCATTAAAGTCCAAAGAACATTAAGTCTCAATCAACATCTTAAGGACAAAAACAATTAAATCATAAAGTTCAATCAACTTCAAGTATTAAACAACAAATGATTCATCATCAATCAACAATTGAATCGTTGGTAAAGAAGTAAATAACTATGCAGCCTGAAGCTTGAATCTAATCAAAATTTTTCTCCATTTCTTTTTTAAGAAAATATGTTGTTGTTTTTAGATTAATAATTCTTGAATTAATTCGATAAGTTTATAATTTTTTCAATATTTGTTGCAACAAAAAAAGAAGGGTTCATGGGGCGAATTATTTTAAATCTAATGGTTTCTTTAAATGTTTTTGTCTAATATTGTAGCTTAAATTTTGTTTAGCCATTCTTTCTCTATTCCCCTCCAAAATCTTGCAACAGTAGATCTTTAGAATTAATTCAAAGAGAGAATAAATCTTTTTTTGCTAGGTTTTAAGTCAGTTTCAATTATATGTTAAGATATTCATGATAAAAAAAGAAAATATTATGAAATGGTGATAGACATGCAAAAACTATAAATATAAAAAGAATATAACTAATTATTAAATAATGAATTCGACACTCATTAAAATATGATTAATAAAAAATAATAATTTCTGTTGTGATTATAAATTGCCTGATGTTTGATCACCATATTATTAATGATTGACTATTTACGGATGAATGGAAGTTAGTTTAGTTCAGAATTTTTTTAAAAATATTTGTTGATGATAAATCAAATTTAAAGGCAAAATTACGAAAAAAATTTACATTTTTTTGCTTCACTTTAGCTGAGGAATCTGAAAAAGCTTTCTGTTTACTCTTATTTTTATTATGGATATAAAAGCCAGTGAAATAGAAAAGCAAGTGAGAAATTATATAAATTAAAAATGGATGAAAAGACGTTTTTTCAAGCCATTCTCTGGAAAGTGAAGTCTTTTCGGTTCTGTTGATTGTTTGTTATTTTCAATTCAATGTACCTTAAAGCTTCATTAAAGCCTTAGTTCAGCAAAAGTTATTTTATCAATTTTGATTGTTATTTGAATTTTTCAAAACCCTACAAATTATTTACAAATTTGTCCAAAACTTTACAATTCTATGCTAAAACCTTACAAATTATTTAAATTTCCGTTAAAATCAATTGGAACCTTGAAAGTATCAATCACTTTCAATTTTACAATCCATGAATGAACAGACATGAATATTTTATAGCTCATATCATTAAATTAAACTTTCCAGAGAAATACTTGAAAATTTCTGCAGCATCCCAGCAATAAAAGTCATTATAACATCCTTGACTTACCTTCAAGCGAATAAGGTGTTTTTTTAAATTAAATTTATGGTGCAAAAATATGGACAAAAATAATAACTTTTAATCAATATTGGCTACGAGTTAATTTATGGTTGAGAAAATAAATTAAAAATAAAAAAAATAAAATTTATAAAATATGACAAAAGATTAGCCAGAGAATTAATACAAATGATATAAGATCATGCAAGAATCATTCCATAAACTACTAACAAATTTTCATATTCTCAACTTTACATTTTCTTTCCTTCTTTTAACTCTCCTTAGTGGCATTCATTAATGTGTGACATGCAAGGAAGCAAATAAATAAAAAATTCGTGTAATTTCTTTTTTATAAAATCAAATCTGATGATAAATTATGTGCAACGTATCAAAGATTATTAATAAAAATGACGATTTTTTAAAATGAAAATAAATTTTAGGCAATTAAAAAAGTTTCTAAATTATATAAAGAAATATGTTAGGAATTATGATATAAAACAATTCGAGTAAAACTTTATGTCGTAGAATTTTTTTTTATTTAAAATATTAAGGGGTCCTCAAATTGAATAATCAAAATTTTCTGGAAAAATTAAAATTATTTAAATTGAGGATCACTTGAAATAATATGAATATGTAGCTTGACTAGTTTGTAATGGAAGTGAGGTGATTTTACATCCTTAGTTTCATGCTGCTCGTACCTTTGTTAAGCTTAAAAAAGACAATTGGAAAATATCACGCACAAAATTTAAAATTCGACGTACTCAAAAATTCTATAAACTAAGCTCTAAATTCCCAGAATTTCACATCACTTCCATCACAAACAAGCCAAACTTTTTGGAGCGAAAATCTCAAATTTTAATCAATTTTAACTCAAATTTTACTTTCGGTTATAACTTTTTTTTTATAAAAAAATGTGTTAAAGAAATTTTAATCAGTTGACCAGAACTGACCATAATGGGTAAAATGTGGTCAGACCTCTCTTTGTATTATGAGAAAAAAAGTGTTATGCCTTAGAGATTCTGACTTTTGAATGAAAAAAAAAACCTTATTTCCATTTATTAATTTTTTTCCATTGTAAAAAACTTAAATCGGTGAAAAATTTGAATTTTAAAGTAGTTGATAGTAATACACTAAATTACATTGCATTACAGGAGTTTATAATCTTGAAAGAAAAAAATTTAAAAAATGATAGGATGAAGAAAATTAATCGAAGTATTACTACGAGTTTAAAGAAAAAATTTAAAATTAATGATAAAAGTTTTTATTATTAGAATCATAAGTGGACGTAAAAATGGTTGAACAAAAAAATATTGAAAGATCATATACAGCGATTTATTTGACTGAAGCTACTAGAAAAGCATAAGCTTGAATGATTTGCATCACAATTATTAAGACATACTCACTGGATAGAGTTGGAAATCGATTGAAAGATAATTTAAATCTTAACGGCTGAAAAAAATTGAATTTATTTCATATTTTAATAAAGTTACTCACCCCTCTCAAAGTGAGGTTTGAATTTCAAGTTTCCGTTATTTTTAAAAAGTTAAATTTTGATTTAATAATCCTTTAAGTTGAGCTTACAAAGTACAAAATTCTTGACCACCAACCTCTATCCTCAAGCAAATCATCAAAGAATGTTAATTTTCTTTAAAAAAATTGATCAATCGAACAACTCTAAGTTTGAATTATGCTCACAAATGACTTCTTGAGAATGAACAATAACAAAATATTGCAAAATGGGGGAACAAAAAATTGAAGATCTTCCGTTAATTTAAATTTTTGAATTCGCTTCATATTTTCGTTGAAAAACAATTCAAATTGCAAAAGATCGTTACAAATTTAAACGAGCTTTAAAATTTGAATTTGTCTTAACGAAGTTTAGAAGACAATTTAAAATTCAAAAAATGATTTAATGTAAACTTATCACCCAACGACTGCAAACAAAGAAAACTTCAGTTTGATTCGAAAAATTCAAACTGAAATTCGAAAAATTTCGAACTGTTTCGAACTATTGAATTTTTTAAAAAAATAAATGATCGTTAGGGAATTAATAAAAATATATTTATTCTAGTTATTTTTTGAAGCAAAATTATTCCTTTTATGTACCAATCGACTTTGAAATTGTAATTTTACTCTAAATTCAACAAAAACTTTTAATAATTTATCAATTGTATCTTGACAATGTTCAAAATCGACTTCAATTTGTGCAATTACTGTATTAATGAATTTCTGGTTAAAGGAAGGATCAGAACATAAGATAAAACAATTAAGCTGTCTATAAATAAATTCAAGAATACACAAGAAATATTTTTTTTCACAGCAATATTCAATATTATGCAGTTTAAGAAATTCAATCCACTTATCTTTATGCACAGAGCTTTTTGGAAGTTCAAACAGAGGAATTTTATTGGTTTTCTTTCCTTTACAACCAGTAATTACACAATTTCTGACTATTTTAAAAAAAATGAAATTTTATAAATTCAATAAAGACTAAGAAATGTAAACAAATATTTTCAACGGAAATTTTAAATTCAAATCAAGTTCGAAAATGAAGTACCTATTTCCGAAAATGAGTTCTTGTTTGCAGTCGTTGGCTTATCACAAATTCTTAACGATCGATAAATGTGAACAAAATGGCAGTAAATTTCGGTATTAAGCTTAAATTCTCAAAAATAAAAGGAATTAGATTAGATTTTATTCGGAACTTACACTTTTCTAATAAATTAATAATTTGTGAGTCACAATTGACACTGCCTGAAAAACTTTTTTACAACTAAAGTAACTCAATGTTAATGTCCAGCAAAAATTGTTCTCCCTTGCGTTTCATACTAAATGTCTCACACAGAATTAAAAAAAAAAATTGGCAGCACTTTAAAGCAAACAGAAAAAGATGTTTCTTGATTATAAGACTGAAAGAATTGTAAAACATTTTAAAAAAATTATTTTATATCGAATATGAGCATCAACAAAGGATATGAATCATAAATCAATTGATGATGCTCGTGTTTGCAACGCACAGGAGACTCAAAAAACGATTTTAAACTGAGGAATTTTTTTCTTTAACAATTCTAAAAAAACCGAAAAATGCTTTAATGAATAAAAATTAAATTAAGGTTTTTCCTTCTGAATCTTTCAATATTTTTTAATTTTTCTTATCTTTTCCTGCATTTCTACAAAACTCTGGCAAGACATAACATTTTTATTATTTAGATTTTTGTCATACATAAAAAAAATACATCAGAATGGTAAATAAGCATGAAAAAGAGTTTAATTTAAAATCCTTAAAAAAATCACTAACAGAAAGAAGTTAAAAGTAATGTATGAATAGAACATAAGAGGAGAAGTTAATTAATGATAATAAAAATGCGTTTGTAAAAATAAAATCCATGATCCAAATTTAAATTACTTTAAACCACATACACAGAATTACACACTTTACTGTAAAATGATGATTGAAGAATGAAGTATATTATTAAATTATATATTGAAAGAAAGAATGAAAAAGATGCATAGAAAGTAAAAAATAAAAAAAGCTCTATTATATTTCAAGAATTAAACTTGTTTGACTTTTTGCCTTGTTTTTTAGCTTTTGACTTAATATCTTTCAGATCCACTAATGTCATAATGTCATCAAAATCCGGAATTGGTTTAATACTGTTTATCGTGGCTGTAATATCTTGAACTTTATGTTCCATGTCGTTCTTAAACGCCAAAACATCATTGAGAATTTTTTGAGTTTCCAGAAAGATTTTAAGCGTTTCTTCTCTACTGGCTTGTAGATTATCACGATTTAATTTTTCTTTCAGTTCTAGTTCTTCGATAGATTTAAAAATTTCATTTGCTGTCATTTCATCAGTTTGCAGAGTATCTTTAGGTGACAATTGAGCAGATTTTGATGTTGATGGACCTGCTTCATTATTAAAAATTCCGTTGTTGCTGTTGGTTAAGTCCATTGTTTTATTGATTGTCTTCTTTGAACGTTTTTAAACTGAAGAACATTAAAATTAAGTCAATAATTAATCCAGAGCTACGTCATAAAATGACAGACAAAACAAATCACATGACAACTTGTAACTGCTGATTTCCTAAGTAGCTAGCTTATGCACGACAAAGTAATAATTCAAATATTGGAACTGACTTTACAAAATCACACTTTGTAAAGTATTTACAAATTCCAAATTGAAATGTATTTACTATTTTAAATTTTTTTGGATGTTTATTAGGTTTGAAATCATTATCAAATTTATGATTATTCATTACTAATTTTGCAATCGAAATTTTGAATTTGTTGAACCTTTTGTAGCATTTACTTAAGTTCAAAAATACACTGGTGGAAATTGAAATGAGACACCCATGTTTTTTATGTTAAAGTCTTACAAATGAAAGATTAAGCCTTACTTGTTGTATATCATTGGAAAGGATTTTAAAAAATAACTTAAGGACAGGAACAATGTACTGACTGAAAATGTAGCAGTTTAAAGTTATTTACAAAATATGATTTTTGAGGTGGAAATTGAAATGAGACACTTTAGAAAAATTTACAAAAATCTTCCTCAATTTTGACTTTGAGTATACATATTGTATGTAGACTTGTAGATTTTTACTTTTTTAACAATACTAGAGCATTCTAAAAATTTTTGGAACTTCCAGTCATCTAATATCCTCAAGAGAAAGTAGTAAAAGCCAAGTTTTTTGTTTTCATCAAATATTTTTATGAAGGATCATCTATTAATAACAAATGAAATCAAAATATGTAGATTTTTAAATGCTCTTTCAGATAAAGAATTGATATTTACCTTTACATAAGCTTAAATTACAAAAATTAATTAAAATGCTTGTTACGAGTGAGTACGGATATGAAAAAATTAATTTTTCTCTTATTTTGATCAATCAAAAAAATCTGAAGTTTTCAGGACACTTTCTGCATTGTTTTTACTATTAGTTTTCAATTCCATATATTTTTTATCTCCATGATGAAATCTCAAAATATCAAATTGCATAAATTTTTCACATAATTTAATTATACTAGGTTTTAGTGTTTTTGTAACGGTCAAAATTTTTGATAGCATAATATCTTAAACATAGTGCATGATTCTCTAAATTTAATAAACATACGTTTTATGTGCATAAAATATATTAATAAATGACAAAAATAAGAAAATTTTAACGGAATTTTTTGATATGAAGTTTTGCATTAATAATGTGAAAAATTTATGGAATTTGATATTTTGGGATTTCATCATGACTTAAATGTTAATCCTAGCGTTCATGGATGGAAATAAAAAATATATGGAATTGAAAACTAATAGTAAAAACAATGCAGAAAGTGTCCTGAAAACTTCAGATTTTTTTGATTGATCAAAATAAGAGATAAATTAATTTTTTCATATCCGCACTATGGGATAAAATCGATTTTTTCCAAAAATTATTTTATTGGCTTATTTGAAAGGTCTTTATCCAAGGAATCAGAATCTATTTTAATTTTGGCCCAAAGTGCAGCAGTGCTGGAGATATAGCCCGAAATGTATTTTGATGACCTTCGATAGTTAATATTTTCAATTTATCAGAACTTTTTCTTGTCTCAACCAATTTTCTTGAAACTTTTTTTAAATGACAGATATAAGCCGAAGCTTTAATATAAATATCAGTCACATAAGTTCTACTCCATGGAAAGTGCTTAAAAATTTACTAAACTTCAAATGTTAGTAGTACGGCAAACTTTTTTTGAGTATGTGGATTTCTGATGCACTTGAATTTTTTTCTTTTTTCATAAAATTGTAGCTCTTTACTAGATCTACAAGAAAAATATCCCTTTCAAGGTTTAAAATTATTTTTATGCATCAAAAAATTGAGATTTTTTCAAAAAATATACGGTTTTTTACTATGTTTTGACTTCAATTGACTTTAACTGCATATTCCAAGTGAGTGGAGAGATAAGTTTTGATTGTTTTATATAGCCCTCACTTGTATCTTTCTAAAGCTGTGAAAACCTGGAAAAAAGTTCCGCCAAATTTTCATCTTAGAACCATTTGAAACATCTCATCTACATGCACCTCAAAAATCTTTTTCAACTTTTTTCATCAAAATCATGTCCAAACTTGATAAAACTTTCAGGAATGTTAGAAAATAGTGTTTTTGATATTTTAAAATCAATTTGAGTTTTTGGCATGGACTTGGACCATTTTTATTTGAAATTTCATTATTTTCCATTTTCAATGAAATGTAAATGACTTTAAATCAGAGATCGAAGCCGATTTTTTCGGCTTAACTCAATTTTTGATTTTTTTTTTGATAGAAAAAAGCCATTTGACACCCATTTCAAGTATTTAAATTGAACTTTACATGCTTTACTATGATTCTGTGTAATATTTTGTCAGCATGTAGCTATAGTGAGCTCAGAATTTCAATTTAGCCGATTTTAAGCCGATCGGCAGAATCATAGTAAAGCATGTAAAGTTCAATTTAAATACTTGAAATGGGTGTCAAATGGCTTTTTTCTATCAAAAAAATCAAAAATTGAGTTAAGCCGAAAAAAATCGGCTTCGATCTCTGATTTAAATACACTACATGCTTAACAGAAAGTATTTGTATTACCTTTTATGTTAAGCTGCTTAAATTACCTTTCCAACAATATATATTATGTCATATATGAGTACAATATCCCTGAATAATGTTGAAAAAACTGAAAAATTACTCAAAATTCGAGGTGTGTGAAGAACCATACTTTACATTTTTGCTCGAAACTATATAAAATCTCAAGTATATATTATAAATTTGGTACTGTTGGAAAGATAAAAATACTGGCTATAAGATAAAATCAAACTTTGAGTTGAAAATTTACCCAGGGCACTGCTAGCGTATGGGAAACATGTCATAGTTTGACCAGCACTATCAGATACAGTAAAAATAAATTTTTTTATTTTTTCTCATGTTTTCTACAGAAACATTAATTAATTCATACATTCAAAATCTAATTAATAATCAAATGGTATTTAAATTAAAACCTTGAAGGTTGGTGTTAAATATATTTCCAAATGTAGCTAAACATAATTCACTAAATAAAAGCACTATTATTATTATTATTATCTACAGAACAGTGTTGCATTCTGGCTATTTGTCTGGACCAGATAAATTCTGAGACAGAAATTTCTTCATAAAGATCGATTCTACATGTAGAAAGAAAAAAACCATCTACATGTAGATTGTGTCTACATGTAGAATCTGTCTACATGTAGATTCGATGTAGATGTCTATAATTCTACATTTTTTCCAGGTCTACATCAGAGAAGAATGTAGAATCGTAGACATCTACATTAAATCTACATGTAGACACAATCTACATGTAGGTGGTTTTTTTCTTTCTACATGTAGAATCGATCTTTATGAAGAAAGTTTCTTAGCTAGACAAAAACTATTGAAGAATCTACATTCTTCATCTAGTGTAGACATCTACATTTGCAACACTGCTACAGAAACATACCTAAACTATCTGAAAAACACCAAAAACTTAGTTTTTAAACATCAATTCTTTATCTGAAAGAGCATTTAAAAATCTACATATTTTGATTTCATTTGTTATTAATAGATGATTATTCATAATAATATTTGATGAAAACAAAAGACTTGGCTTTTACTACTTTCTCTTGAGGATATTAGATGACTGGAAGTTCCAAAAAATTTTAGAATGCTCTAGTATTGTTAAGAAAGTAAAAATCTACAAGTCTACATACAATATGTATACTCAAAGTCAAAATTGAGGAAGATTTTTATAAATTTTTCTAAAGTGTCTCATTTCAATTTCCACCTCAAAAATCATAATTTGTAAATAACTTTAAACTGCTACATTTTCAGTCAGTACATTGTTGCTGTACTTTAGTTATTTTTTAAAATCCTTTCCAATGATATACAACAAGTAAGGCTTAATCTTTCATTTGTAAGACTTTCACATAAAAAACATGGGTGTCTCATTTCAATTTCCAGAAAGATTTTTTTGAATATTTCAAATAAAATATTAGTTTATGGAACTTTTGCAATGCAACAATGCAATGTTTCTTAAAAGTATATTTTTTTTTTGAATTTTTATATTCCATTATATTTTATAAAGAACGAAAAATTAAGAAATAATAATGCTTAGCTCTATAATGTATGCTTAACTGCCTATAACCACCAAAAAGTTTCATTATCTTAGAGAAACACTTAGGATAACTCAGTTTATTTTGAATTCTAGAAAAACAGGAAAACAGCTGTTTTTAACAATCAAAAACCGAATTCCACAAACCCTATGTGGGCGATTCTCCAGAACGGTGGAATTTTTCAAAATGAGCTTTTATAATCCGTTGTCAATTATGCTTACATCATAAATATGTATTCTAGTTTACAACCATCAATAATAATTTACTTTTATTATAAATGATGAAATTTGTCAAAAGTGTAACTTGAAAGTATAGATTTACAGTAATTTCGATCAAAAAATTTTGTAATTTTTTAACGGATTAGGAAAATTTAAGCTCTTGCGTTGCTTTGTGAAATAAAGTTGACATTCGGAGAATCGATTTATCTCGATAAATAAGCTTTTTTACTGGAGTTTGAAGCATAAATATCAGAGATCGAAGCCGATTTTTTCGGCTTAACTCAATTTTTGATTTTTTTGATAGAAAAAAGCCATTTGACACCCATTTCAAGTATTTAAATTGAACTTTACATGCTTTACTATGATTCTGTGTAATATTTTGTCAGCATGTAGCTATAGGAAGCTCAGAATTTCAAGTTAAAGAATGTTAAGCCGAAATTTAAGCCGATCGGCTTAAAATCGGCTAAATTGAAATTCTGAGCTCACTATAGCTACATGATGACAAAATATTACACAGAATCATAGTAAAGCATGTAAAGTTCAGTTTAAATACTTCAAATGGGTGTCAAATGGCTTTTTTCTATCAAAAAAATCAAAAATTGAGTTAAGCCGAAAAAATCGGCTTCGATCTCTGATAAATATTGTAAAGCAGATCTTAATCTATTATTTAGTGTACATTTAATGCTGCAAAGATGAGTATTTGGTACAAAATTTTTGAAAACCCTGTTAAAACTTACAAAATTTCATTTTTGGTCACAAAGCAACGGACCGAAGAATCGAATTATCTTAATAATTAGGACAATTCATGCTTAGCCAAATAAATTAATCGATAGGTAATAAAAAATTATATCAGATAAACTGAAAACCTTGTAAGGTTTAGTGTAAAATTTCGACAAAAAATTCATTTGAGGTCAAAATTTTTGCAATTTGCCCTTCAGAGAATCGCCCATGTCTAATAGTATTTTGGGAAGATTTGAGGCTGTGTAGAACTTGAGAAGGGACGGCAATCTAGAACTCAGTTTTTTATGGAAGTCATATGTGTCATTAATATTTAGTAACCAGAATTTATACAATTCCTTAAATCTGAGAGATTATTATAAATCTAAGGATTAAAGAACAGATTTAAAGCATAGATTAGGTTAGGGTCCATGAATATCAACTTTGAGCTTAATTCTTTATTTTTGTGATATTCATGGAATTGAGGATGATTACTGAAAGATGTTATGACAAAGGATACAGTAAGCTTTAAGTACATTGCTGTTAATTATTCCAAATTTCTATATATTTTTTTGTATCAATTTTTCTACATTAATCCTTATTATCTCCTTACCTTTAAATTCTGAGGCTATTCTTTGCTTTGTTATCTTCCTTTATACACCAATTAGTTTAATTAAAACGACGTGAATGTTACAAAATTAACAAAATTTATCTAGATCCAAAATGTGTTGTCAAAAAATCAAAGATTAATAAATTTCAAATTTTAAAAAACCGTTAATTATGAACAAATCTCCTGAAAATGTAAAGGAACTGAAACATCAGTTTTATTCATCTAGGTACTGACTTTATTTGAGAAAAAAGTAATTTAATTATTCTATGTAACAATTTCTGTGATTTGTCTGGAAGTCATTGCCATAATTTCATTAAAATAATTCATCTTTATAGCTAGTTCCAATGGATGTAAAATTTTCATAGGATTTATGTTAATGAATATTTGATTCTAATAATGAATGTGTCCTTAATGAAATTATGATGCAATGCCATTCATATGAATACTCGGGAATTAATTACTTTGCAGTTTCGTCTATTCTTTGGAAATACACCAACTCAGTCTTTGGAAGAAAACACTCGAATTGTGAAAAACTTGTTATCCTAAAAAAATGATTCATCATGTCATCACACCTTCTATGCTACTTCTTTGAACATTAAACGACAAAAATACATAAATTTTTAATATTTGGTGACTAGAAAACACTATTAAATAGTGAAAAACATAATTTAAATGTTTTAAAGGAACTAAACTCTGAACAGAAATTTTAACTCTTATTCTAATTTCCTAATTCTTAATTACAATACATTTAACGGACATTTTTCTTCATGATTAGATTCAACTGAATCTGATACAAAAACCATTAAAATTAAGGCTCTGGTCGATCTTTCAATCTCGTCTCATGAAGCTGATTTTAACTCACAATTATTTTCAAAAATGTAACGGTATGTTGAAAAATATCGGTCGCAAGGTTTTTGAAATTATCAAAATTTTCAATCTTTAAAAAACCGTTTAAACTTAAATTTCAGTTTTTCAATCAAAAGTTATTATTCATGAGACAATATTAAAAGATCAAAGATAAAATCATTCCAAATACTTTTACAATGCAGTTCTTTCATCATAAACTACAAACGCTTCTTCCTTTGCGACTCCACCATTACTGCCTGAATATTGAGATAAATTTTGAGAACGAGATCGACAAAAAGCTATGATTTTCGCCTCATTGTTGGTCATACGATTTCTTAATTTTTTACTAAAGTTAACTTTGCTGTAAAGCTCATCCAAGTCTTCAATCGAACTCACCGGACGTTGCTTATTTTTTGACGGTAGAGATCTTGTTTTATAGGCATTTGGATTCTCGCTTGGTTCCACTGTATGTATTTGCTCTAAAAATTTGCATAAATTAGCTTCATTAATTTTTGTCCTTAACTTATGTTTTCTTACCTGTGTCATTTTGTGGATTGACAGTCCATAACGATTTATATTGTTGTTGTAATTCACGCTGTTGACACCACTGATAAAGCTTTTGTGTCGAATAGCTTTGAGCTGGTGATGGGACATATTTTGGTAACATTTCGATTGAATGACGTGAATGATTAGGATAATGAACTGGCGATGCAAAGCCGTTGATATGTGTCGCAATTCTACTTTCTTGTTTTCGTCGAGTGCTTTTAGCTTTAACGCATACACAAAGGATAATAACGATCGAAACAATAATCGAGAATAGAAGCACAAGAATGAGTATCCAGCACAAAAATAAAGTATTATTATTTGATCCACTTCCTTTGACAACGAGCGTAACTGTCGATCGATGATTTATGAAATCTCCATTGGTATACTTCGTACTTGTTGAGTCCTCAACGCCTTGAAATAGAATAAAAGAAGAAGGTTTACGAATGCTTATAAAAATAATAATGCAATTATGTATTTATTATGTGAGACCTGGATATACAACACGCGTTCCATCATTCACATGATTGTATCCAAAGTCAACTTCTGATACTTTTGATGTGCTGTTCTCCATTCAAAAAAATAGAAATGTTATCGTGTTTTATCTGACATATCACGTTATTAACTCTACTTTATTTTCCTCACAATATACACTTTTTGCCTGCCTGTATATCGCGCCTCAATCGATATGCTCAACTGCTATTTTTCTTTATTGAATATTCATACTTTTGTGTTTTCTTAATGAGAAAACAAACGTAAGCTGTTAAACAGACTTTTAATTATTATTATAATCTTTCAAACATCGGCATTGACATCTATTCCTTATTAATGGACAAGCTTGTATTGTTTGACTTGGACACAAAAAAATAAGTTTGAGTTATCAGCGACTACAAAGGCATTTATTTATATTATCACACAGCGAATGTAGAACGTTTAAACGATCGGAAATACACAAAACAACTAAGCAGGCACTGCTAGTAAATGAATTATTGCTTACTTCCATCCAAAAATAGTAACTTTCGCATACTACAATAGAATTCATTTGTTCATTGTTTCATTTTCTTTTATGATAGCTGTGAGAATTATTGAATGGATGGGGGGACTATCGGTGCTTGTAAGTTATATGTTCACGTGATTACACATTGTATGAATTACTTTTTTGGACATATAGCAAATTCAGATAAAGCAAATCTACCAATACAAACTTTAAAGGCATCACTGGATTTGCGGTATCGGATGTTTTAATAACATTAATGTTAATTGGATTACTTTACTTACCTTATTAGCTCCTTAATGTACCGTCCTTAATCGCTGGAACTTCGATTATTTTAATTATTTTTTATCTTGATTTTATAACATTTTTGCATGATTTCTGCCACACAAGTTAATACTTTTTTTACTGCTTATTCTCACTGACTTATAGACACAATAATTCGTGACTTTCCTCAGCTTAAACCTAGTGTAATTAAGTTTTTCATTGAATTTACTTTAGCAGTTAAAACCCGATACTAATTTGTTGATTTGATTATCTTAACTGATGAAGAAATGATGTTAATAGCTTTCAAAATATTTGTTTAACCATTTAAATGACTATTTGAATGAAATTTTAATTTTTTTATTTTAATCCTTATTTTGTAAACAATGGTAAACACAAAAAAATCGAAGCTAATTCGACTTATTCTTTCGAATTTTTGATCAACGTTAAGAAAATATGAAATCAAAACTATTAATTTAACTATGATACTTCGTTTATTCAACTGAAATCTTAAAATTAATGCTCAATTTGTAAGTATTAACACATGCTTCTATCGGGTTTTCCACAATTTAAATTTTATTCCTTACTTATCACAAAAAAAGGTTGAAATTTGAAAATCTCACCACAAAACTGTTTTTTTTTTTTATTTTTCCTTGATTTTATAAAGCTTTTCTAGCACAATAGGTATTCAAATCGATTTTAGACGCATTAATAATTTAATAAACATGAAAATTGCATTTAAAATCACAAGTTTTTAACGGAAAATTGGGAAAATTCAAAAAATTGATATTCAGACAGATAAGATCGTCACCTATTTTTCAAATTGAGGACCTCCTTTAATTTGTTTTCAAAATCCTTTACTCACAAAAAAAATTGAAAATTAATTAAATTAAAGCTAATTAAGCTTATTAGAAACATTAAAAAGCTGCTAAATCATTCATATTCCCAGAAATTGTCGTTTTATCATTAAAGGATCATCGATGAAATGTCAACTTTTGATCATTTTTGCAGTTTTAATTAATTTTTCTATATTGGAAGAGCATAATTCGACAGACACGACACAAATTGAAGGTAAGTACAGAAAGTTTATGCATTAAGATAGCATTTAACTGATAACAAACTGCATGTATATAGGATTTTTGCTGTGTAAAAGTTGCGGAGCCGATAATAGCATATTAAATTTAATTATCAATAATCGAATTAGTGAACAGGCTGTTAATGTACAGAATCTTACGGTCAGCAATAAATCTATCATTGTTCAGGAACTGACGAATCCATTAGGAGTCAGATTTAAAGTTATACTAACCAAAAAGGCAAACTGCTTCAAAAGTAAAGGCGGTTGGTATTCTGGTAAGTTCTATACGTTCTTAATTGAATTAAGTAGTCACTAATTGATAATAAATGTAGGAGGAAGCTGGTTTAATAAGTATTCGTGGAAGCTCTGCCAGTGTCCTACGTGTAAAGCTCACGTTGGATGGATGTTTGAACTTACAGACTTAGTCTATAGGAACGATCCATTCTTTCCCGGCGAAACAGGCTTTTACGGAATTATCCTCGACTCTGTTATTTCTGAATCATGTAAAATGAACAGCATTTTGTGGATATAAATCGATATATAATTACATTTCATGTCTTTTTCAGACGCTGATTCACTTTTGATGTTAGATAAACTTTTACAGAATTAATTAAATTAAATTTTCTGTGTGTCTGGTCGAAACTAGTTAACGAGAAATATGGTTGATCCTAATCGTAAAATCAATATTGACTTGCAGTCTGATGAGGAATCGTCTTCTTCGTCTGAAGAGGATGTTCTGAACGAAGAGCATGTCCTGTTGGTTAAGGAATTTGAGGAAGTAAGTTTGACACTATAATTCATTAATAATTTATTATTTTAATGACTCATGTTTTGTGTGTTTCTAGGAGTTTAAGGATCGATTTACTGAAAAGGATGAGGAATTTATGGAATTTTGTAAACTGAAGCCTAAACCACCAATTATTGTCTATCCATTCGACAACTTTTTCAGGCAGAATAATCGAGGATTTAATAGAAATAATTACAAACATCGCGGGAATCATTATCAACATCAACAGAATCGTAATAATAGAAGCTACAATCCTCAGAATAGGAACAACCATTATGATAGGAATAGTCGTGATAATCGCGACAATCGAGACAATCGATATGGCGATGCCAAAAGATTTAGAGCTGATTAAATGATGGCTGGACTTTTGAGTCATATTCTCTTTTTTCGGAAGATTTGTATTTCATTTGTTTTAATAAAATTTATCGCATGATACTGCATTTTTGAGAAATATTAAGGCTCTGGAGTTTTACTGGATGTTAATTAGCTGTAAAAAGAAAGAAAAACTGACTTTAAAACTTTAAATCGTCGAGTTTAGACGATTTCGTGAAACTGATCTTGATCAAGTCATTAATGATCATTTCATTGTATCCTCAGGTTTTTCAATGATTATGAGTCATTCATAAAGGAAATTCCGTCAAAATTAGAGATCCTTATTGGATATGCATGAAATTCTTAAAATTGCATAACATATCAACGAGTATTGAGCATATTGGAATTATAATTCTTGCTGATCTGAAAAGCTTGACAGTGAATTCAATCGAGTATCTATTGCTCATATCTTTGGCATGAAGGATCATTAAAATAAGCAATTAATCTTATAAGCACAAGATCCAATGAATAAAATTGGGAACTTAGCAAAACGTGACAAATATTAAAATTTTACCGGATTTTTCAAATTGAAGAAATTCCACAATTTTCATTTTCTAATATTTTCATTCATCTTCACCTGTCTATCTGATCATTTGGTGAACAACTGTGATTGCCAGCTTCATGCCATGCTTTCAATACCCATAAAGCATGATAATTTAAAAAAATCAAAAAATTTCGACCAAAAATTTCCACGAAAATGGAAAATTCAATTAATTAGACTAAGTCGCACAAGGAAATAAAGGAAAAAGGCAGGCAATATTTACTATATCAAAGTCGTCGAAGGAAAAAGTTTAGACGAATATCATTAGTCGAGTTTTTTTCATTTGAAAACATAGAAAATTAATTAATTGATAGGTATTTTATTAATTTTAAGTTATTTAACTACCGAAATAATGTCAATTAAGTGCCTAAGAATGTGAAATAATTAACAGATTAATCAATAATGCTGTTTAATGTGATGCTATTGAAATTTACAAAATTTCTCATCTGGATTTTTATTTTAAATTTTCTTTCAAAGGACATGTAATGCATTAAACATTATATTATAATTAAGAATTTAATTAAATGCAAGCAAAATGGATATAACGATGGCTAATTTAATGATTCCTTTTAATCAGGTGAGATTCAATTTAATTAAATTAAACATTCAAATTGTTAATAAGAGATTCCATCTTTGACCAAATAAAAATTACAGAGCAGCAATTTTGCACAATCAGTACCAAATGTCTGTGGAATATGCAGTTTATCTCACTATACAGGTTTATGTAATGCTCTATCCGATAAAATTGTGAGTTTTTAAGTGATCAAATCTAGTTTAATTCCAGTTTTTAATACACTTTTTTTCTCCATTTCAATGATTTAGATACCAGACAAGCCTCATATAGACAATTTGTCGCGATATTCAGTGCCTGATGGATTACTTATTATCGATTGTGGTGAGGAAATGAAAAATACTATGGTGATAACTGCTCAAAAGTTTGCAAAAGGAACTCGTTTTGGTAAGTTTTCTTATTTTTCACTGCTTTTTTACATCACATTACATTACATACTACATCCAGTGTATTAGAAAGATGAAAAAGTAGGTCACGAGTAATTGTATTATTTAATTCTCAGGTCCAGTGCTTGCTCCCAAAAGTTATGTGCCTCCATCACGTCCAAACAAATTTCCTTTGGTAATTTTCAATGAAATTTGGCATGGTGATCCATTTATTGACGATCTCTCTGACGATATTAAGGAATTGTTTAACGTGCGCAACTATTATTTGGATACAAGTGATGAAAATAAGTGCAACTGGATGATTCACGTTGACATTTCGAAATATTCTAATGAACAGAATTTAATGGCATACCAGGTAACACTCTGACATCACATCCTTAAAGGATCTATAACTCATGTTTTTTTTTTTTGTTTTAGGAAAACGATCAGATATATTATACATCTACACGTGATATAGAGTTGGGTGACATTCTAAAAGTTTGGTATTCGCCATCATACGCAAGTCGTATGGGCGTAAGCTTATTAGAGTCATCAAATGATCCAAATATATGCACAAATGTGCGCCAAGTGTCCTTTGATTGTGGAATTAAATTGAATGATGATAAAGACTCGGATATCACTAATAATAATTATCTAGCAATAGCACCAAACACATCTTCGCCTTCATCAGAAATTTCTTTACCGCCAGTGAATAGTTTAATGAAGAATCAAAATATGTCATCACCAAGTTATAGTATCGATTTCGATAATCTCATTCTAATGGCCAAAAATGAACAGCAAATGTCAAATATGAATTATCAAATGGATTATATGGATAACTATCAATTGTCTTCGTCAGCGAGCGATGTAGATAAAATGAGTCAAACATCGTCGTCGTCTGCAAAGCCAATTAAATTCACTGAAATGCATGAAACTGAAACACAAAAATATGCATGTGAGCTGTGTGCTCGAAAATATATAACTAAATCAAATTTGGAGAAGCATATGCGCTCGCATGATTTATTCATGTGCGTCGTTTGTATGAAAATGTTTCAAAATCCCGAGGAATTGAAAGAACATGATTGCTTCAAACAGAAATCGTCCTCAAATAAAAAGTCTCTCTTTCACTGTGGAATTTGTTGGAAAGTCCTTAGCAATTCTTGGTCATTAAATCGACACATGAAGATTCACAGAAATGTCACAATGACACCTGATACTAGCTCTCAAGAAAAGTAAGTTACTGCTTTCATTCCATTTCAGTTCAATGTTCATTTTATTTCAGTTTAATTTGAATTTTTGGAAACCGTTAACATTTGAATTTTAGAAAACTGTTACAACTTTACCAATAATTAACTTGTTTTTTATTGTAGATCGGATGAGGTTTCTGACGAACTTCTATCGGCTGTTGCTTCTCAAAATTTAATGATTCAAGAGCCAGAGTTGTATACAATCGAATCAAATTGCGACATGTCAAATGATATTGATAAACATACAGACAATATTTCTGATGATAACGATGTTATTACAAACTTTTTGAATGTTTCTGATCCTCTGGATGTTCAGTCATGGCCTTTAGAAGATTCACTCTCACAACATCATGATGATTTGCCACCAAGCTATCCATTTGAGGATTTAAATACATCAGATGATATAACAGATCAATTTCAGCAAAATGAAATGAAACAGGAAGAAATTCAGTCAATACAGCAACAAATAATGAATCAATCTATGCAGCTTTCGGATGAAGCGAGACAATTGGGACACAATTATGATAAATGCATTGTCTGTGCTCGTGTATTTAAAAATCCAAATTCATTAGAAAAGCACCTTAGAAATGTTCATACAGCTCATATAATTCGTCCTGAATTGACAACGAGCATCAAAAAGTCATCAGAATATCGTAGAATTGTCCTTAATAAAAAGCCAATTAAAGAAAATGTCGCTAAAGCTCTTGTATCGAAACTTAATAAGAAGAATCAACAACACAATGCAGAACAACATCAGCCAACAACATCTGTGACATTAACAGCACCACAAATTGAAAATTCTCATTATACAACTCAGAATGTTCAGGCAATAGTAAGTGAAGCATCATGGAATGGCAGCACATTAACTCCAATTTCGACAGAAAAGTCAGCTCATATGGAGAATGGCAACACAATCATAATAATCTCGAATGTTGAATTAAATCCAGCAACGACAAACGGTTATACATTCACAAACTTTCAGGCTAATACAGTTGCATTACCAAAACTCGTCCCGATTTCGGGACTTAAAACGACGACTCAGACGACTTTTGAAAGCATCACAAAGGATAATAACTGCAATGACATCACATCCAGCAATAATAATAATATCAATAATAATAATAATAATGAAATAGTTGCAGATAAATTTCCAAATACATCACCAAAGGTCTTTATAATTGATAAAGGAGGCGAAAAGGCGCAAAAACCACCGAAACCATTAACAACGCCAGACGAAAACAACAGTGAACATCATCAATGTCCTGAATGTGAAAAAGTCTTCCAGAAAAAATATCAACTTAAGCGTCATCAAGAAATTCATGAAAATCTCTTCTATTTCTGTCCGTTTTGTAAGCGCGCCCCAGTCAAAGCTCGTAGTTCGTTAAGAAAGCATTTCATTAAAGATCATCCAGAACATCAAGACACATGGCAAGCGTCAAATTTCATGTCGACATTATTAAAAAAGTATGAGAAAATTAAGAAATCTAGTCACGAATCTCAAACAGACAGTAGTACAAAGAAAAATAGCAAAAAAGCAAGTAATGGAAAGAAGGAAGCAGTTGGTAAGAAGAATAAGAAGGAAAAATTATTGATTATTGAATCGAATGATATGACGTCAAGTATAGATAATAATAATCATTGTGAAATTATTAATGATCAACCATTACCGCAAGTAAGTATCGATACAGATGATACATCACATCAGCAGCAACAAATTATTTTAAGTAATCTCTTCCTCGATCCAATAACACTCGATGAGGAAAATAATCTAATAAAATATACATTGGCAGGTGAGGATGATTTTATCATGAATGGCCATAATGGGGAATCGAGTGTTGTGAATATGACTCATACAGGATCAATTGAAAGCTATGAAATGTCTGAATTTAGTAATTTTAAGAGCTCATTCGATGAAATCCAAGAAAAACTTGATGCTGATTTAGAATTTAATAATGATCAGATGATTAAATGGAGTGATGAGTTAGACGACTCATCGTCGGTCATTTCCTCACAAAGTACATCCAATTTATCAGCATCAGATATTGGAAAAACATTGAGCAAACAGAAAAATGGCTTTATGCTGACATGAACTAGTAAACGTAGTGCTTCAATATTTACCAAAGAAAGACTTTCTTCATTCATACTTCTATGAGGCATATTCATACTTTATTATACAATTTAAATACATTAATGAAATTGAACTTGAAAGGTACGGTGACTGTTATGGGATTTTCAGGAGAGTTAAGATGTTGAAGCTTTATTATTGAAATATTCCATAAATTAGGGAATTAAAATGAATTTTTTCAATGCAAGACACTATGGAACGGGTTCTTAATCTTTATAAAGGATTAAGAACGGGCTTAATGAATAACTCAAAGATTGATTTAAGTCAGGATTAAAAATAAATCCGAGGATTAAAAAAACAAAATTTTCATTCAAAAAAAACAAAAAGCAATAAATCCACCAAAAATCTCACAACAGTCACTGTTTCTTGCAAAAAAGTGAGAATTATAATTCGTACATGATCTATTAAGGAGTTAAAAAAAATGTTTTTATAACTATTGATTACCAAAAGAGTGTTTTTTTCATATCATATACAATTACGATTAATAATTGACACTAATCTTCAAGCATGAAAGAATCAGAATTTCTTTTAAACTAAATGAAAACAATCGAATTGTTGTAACCAAAGTGCCATAAATGTAAGAACTACAAATTTTTTTTTCATATTTTATACAATTCATTAAGTTCATCTCTTAATTATACTATCTAATAATGAGTAATTTTTCATCATTTTTCGGGTGCCTTAACACTTTTTCTATAAGAGCCATTATTATGGCGAGGAACTTTTATAAGCTCAAATTATCTCATAAGTGTGCGAAATAACATAAAAGTTATCAAATTCAAAACCAAAATGCATAGATTTTATATTTTATCAAATTGTGTGCGCAGCCTACCCTCGAATAATATAATTCCTGATGAGAATTGGAGGGGTCCATTGAATAATTAAATTTAGATTATAAGTCCTTTATTTGTTTGTTTTAATTTTATTGCATAATCATTAATTTATTTTTTATAATTATACATAACACATTCTCGTTTTTGTTTTTTTTTTGTTTTTTAATTTAACTCACCATTAATCACATTACACATAACAAACACGCAATTATTTATTTGATTCAGTTGCATTAGTTGATGCATTCATTCATTTTCTTCCTTTTATTATTCAATATATCCATATCTGGTCGAACGATATAATAAATAAATGAGGAACTGATAATAATTATTGTCTGATTAAAATCAATTAATAGAAAGTAGAGCATAAATTAAATTTAATTAATGAGAGATTGTATGTTGGGAATGAAGATATCGAGTGGTTCTCAGAGTTACTACTTAAAAAATTGTTAAAATACGTTACGTACTAAATTTGAAATGTTTGAAAACCGTACAATAGAAGTTGAAAATCATATAAATGTTTATTGTGAAGTTACATGTTTCTGAATTTGAATTTTAAAAGTTCGTCACATTTATATTTTTCAAAACCATACAAATGTTTTATTAAGAATTCATACTGTTTTTTGAAGGTCCTGCTCTGGTTTGAATTTAAAGTTCGTTAATTTACAAACGACAATTTGAACTATAATTAAAATGCCGTTGAAAAAAAACCATACAATTGCTTTGACTCATTTGAGTTTCAAAAATCCGTTAAAATTAAATTTCATAATTCCGTTAAAAGTATTTATCAACTTTTAATACTCCAAAACCATACAATCGCAAAAGTTACCCAAACGAAAAAGTGTTCTAGTCATTTTTGGATGCTTTTACCAAATTCTGTCCGACAGAAATAATTTACATCACACATAATTAAACAAAGTCTACTTAAGCAAGAAGTCTAATAATTAAACACAGTTTGAACAGATATTGATATAGTGAATTTACCTAACCATAGCTCTCATAAATTTCATTGTCTCACAGTCCACAAAAATAAAAAATAGGCTAGCAAAATTTGAATAAGAAAGCTTTAATTTTTTTAGATTTGCATTTTATCATGAGAAAAAAAAGAAAGAGTTTAGGAATTTCTGATATGATTATCATAGTGGTACAAAATTATAATTTTTATTATTATTTTCTTTTCTATATTTGACAAAAGAAAAAATATACAGAGTGGTGCATAAAATGGAACTTTATATAAAATTTTATACAATGTCAAGTGTCCTTAAAGAGAAAACTTTTCAATTAGAGATGAATTATATATTTTCAGATAAGAGGAAAATTGAATTTTCCAAAAAGATTATTTTTTAAGTACAAGACTAATTCAAAAAAAGGTTTTTAAAATAACTAAATCAAAATGAGATGTTTTATGAATTTATAGTCACAAATAAATAAACAAAAAAATTTTCTTCTTTTTCGAGTGTTGAGTTTTTTTTTATAATTATTGTTTATAACAAGAAGAAGTAAAAGAAATGAAAAATTAAATCAATTTATTTAATTATATCATAACTGAATTTTATCTTGATTCTTTTTAAATTTTTTTATGAAAGAATAAGTAACAATAAAGTAATTCTAAAAACTATTAAAGTAAATATGCTTTTTGTTTTCAATTTTCTGTAAATCTAGGAAGTTATCACTAAGGTCTTCTAAGTTTTAGAGCTAGTTCAAGTTTGAGATAGCTGAATATTTATTTTCAAATTTCTGTTAACCATCAGCTTGACTAAGGTTGCGGATCTAATAAAAAATAACATGAAAAATCTAGTTGATCACTTTCGAACTCCTTGAATATGATTAGGGATAAGCCTTGCTCGAATCAGAAACATTTTAAGGTCAGCAACCTTCTCTGCAGTTCGTCCAAAGCTAGCAGCTAGTTTAACTTAAAACGCACCTCAAATTGCCCTCAAATCATCCAGCTACATATTTAAACTCATTATCACTTCTTTTTACTTCCATGAATTTTTAACCAGCAACAATGCTGCAAAAATAATGTCAAAACTGTAGAAATTGTCACTTCTTCTTGAAATTATTCCAAAATATTTGGGTTGTTGTGGCTCAAGTACAATTTTTTAAAGTAGTTTCATAAAATTGTTAATAACAAGACTTCTGATCACTTAACTTTTCGGTTATTCGTGCGGCTAAAGCACAAAACATGATGAAATTGTACGCTGCATGATTGCGAATTCAAAGAGTGCTACTTTATTGATTTGATGATGCAATTAAGCATATCGATGCATGTAAAATAATATGAAAAGCAACGGTTTTCATAAGATAGTGTAATAACATCCACAACTTGTCAATTAAGTGGATCGAAATTTGTTTACAATAATTTCCATTTCGATAGCTCAAAACTGAGGGAATCCGGGTAAGCAACTAAAATATTCATGTCCTCAATTTGTTTCTAGTTTTTATTTTCATTTCAGATACACGCCAACATACTTCTTCCAGCCCATTTAATTTCCTCTCTTCATTAATAAATAAATTTTAGCACATTTATATTATACCTACTCGAATTGACTTAAATGTGTGACTTTAATTAGTTGACATATTAGAAGCTTTTATCTTGTGACAAATTGGTGAATAATTTTAGGTTATTATGGACAAAATCATTAGAAAATCTTCATTAACAAAAAGTAAACAAACGATGAATTTTTGGCGGAAAAATTGCCTTTAAAAGGATTGAAAACCTGCCAAATAATTGAAAATTCAAAACTTTAGACAATACAACTCAAAAACCAAACCCAAGGTAAGAATAAAATTCAAATTAACACTTAACATTCCTTTCAATAATCACAATAACTCTTAAACACCAACAAATATGGAAAAACAGGTGCTCAGTCAACAATCAACCATTATATGACACATTCGCAAAATTGCATTGTGGACAGCAACCAAAAATACTCTGAAGAAAATAAAAATCAATCTAAATATGACGATTACGGATTCGCACAGTGAATGCCCTCCTCTTTCTCAAAACAAGAATTCCAAAACGATATGTTGCCATTTTTCAGGGCTATCGATATCACAAAAAAGTATGCACTTTCCATTCACACTTTCATTTTATTTCAAAACGATTAATTTATTTATTTATTATTTAGTTTATTGGGTGGCATTGATGGACGCAAAGTGCATTTTATGTTATTACAAAACAGTTACTGAATGGCAGGTAAAACAAGATTTTTTTTTTGCTTTTTGCAAAATGTTAAGGAATTTTATCATTTCTCTCCACACCCACACATGTAGATTGATCATCTCTGATGCTCTCATTTCTTAATAGTCATGATAATGATAAGCCTTGATGATCTAGCTACAAAGTTTATAGAAGATCTACTCTAAAGTATTACAAAATATATTCAGTAAATGGATGAAATAATTGAAAATATGCGAAAAATTTCTAATCAGTTTGAAGATTCCACGGTAAATATTTATGGTAAACACATGCACAATCTGAAGATACCTGTTGAGTTTACCTGTTTCAATACATAGACATATGTGTATTTGTGAGTCTTGAGAAGCATTAATCGAGCCCACGATCGTCTAGAAATGCACAACTTACACGTATACAATCACAAAAGCCGAAGTAAGTATACAACACTCGTGGATGGAGAGTAAAGGTGTCTTGGAGATTTTGAAAACTTGCTCAGCAACATTTCTCAACTCTTCATACAGTTCACATTCACAGCTTTGAGCAGCGATTCATTAAAACCATTCTTGAGTCAACCTGTGCCGTGTAAAGTCGTGCAATTTCACATATCCATATTCAATTGCAGAGAAAATGAGAAAAATTCCAATGTGGAATAAAAAGTAAAGAAGAAGGAATAATAATAATAAAAAAAAAAATTATCAAAGAGCAGAAAAAAAGAGGTCGAGTCTGGGAAGTGTAACGAATTTGTGTGCTATTCTCTATGCAAAAAAATAAGATAAAATTGAAGAAAAAGAAATGGTGAACGTGGTATTAAATTAAGAATCGATTATAGTTTGAAATATCGCGAAAAGTTAAACATTTCATACGGTTGTAAATTTTGCCACTAAGGAGCATTTAGTGCGCAAAATTCATCGTTCGACATAAAAAGATTCTGATTCTGATACATGAAAAAAAGTCACACAGAAGAAGAGTTAAAAGAAGAACTTAAAAGTCTCCATTCTGAAAGCAAAGCAGAGAAGAATCATTTATATATTTATTATATACATGCCGTATATCCATATTTATATATAAATGTGAAAAAAAAAAATATTTCTTGAAGCAAAAAAAAAAAAACAAGAGACTCAAGAAACGGGATAAAGCAGCAGCAACAAGCAAGCCAAGCGAGCAAGCAATAAGAAGGAAAGAACAGAAAAGAATACACGAGAAGAAGGTGGAATAAGAAGACGACGAGAATAAAAAAAAAAAATAAAGTTACAAAAAAGAAAGAGATTGTAAGAGAAGTAAAAATGTTAATACAAGTTTAGCCAACTTCTTTTACTTCTTCTTCATTCTTGTATGCTTATGTTAGTGCTGGCCATAATCTTCAACCAAAAAAAAAAAAAAAATAAGTGAATAGAAAGAAAGTGTGTAAAAGAAATAAAATAAAATAAAAATTCAATTTATTATCGATGAACGTGATCGGAATGTTGGACTTGTGTCATTTGTGTATGGGTTAAAAAAAGACACATAAAAAAAAGATATTAAGAAGACAAATATAAATTGATAGGCCAGATTTATCAATATAATAGCTTTGAATAAATTTCCAAAGAGAACCTTTGTGTCCCAAAGCAGCACTATGAACTCAGAATCGACGCCCATTTGTCGTTGTCGTGTGCTATATTTAGGGAGTGCAGTTCCGCGTCAAAGTAAAGATGGATTGCAAGGTATTCAAGAGCCATTGCGTAGTCTGTATCCTATTGAAGGTGCAGGCGAGAATCTTAAAGGAATCGATAGTTGGCTGAGTGTTTGGTCTAATGGAATATTATTGGAAAATGTAGATGAGAATCGTAAGCAAGTCACAAGATTCTTTCCAATTGAATCGCTACATTATTGTGCGGCTGTTCGTCAAGTATTAATTCCAGAACGTGGTAATGCACATCCGGAACCCAAGTTTTTACCACTTGACTCGCCCTTTGCTCGATCACCACGTGCACAACATCCGCCAATTTTTGCGGCCATTTTAAGACGCACTACTGGCATTAAAGTTTTAGAATGTCACACATTTATTTGTAAACGTGAAGCGGCTGCAAATGCTCTAGTCCGATGCTGTTTTCATGCTTATGCTGATAATTCATATGCAAAACAAATTGAAAATGGAAGTACGCCGGGTAGTGTTTATGGAACTCTCGGTGGAAAGTCAACAATGACAAACGGAGAAGTAACAAACGGATGGAGATCACGTGCAGGAAGCACCACTACACTCAACAGTATGGGACGTCATCAAACAAATGGAAATGGAAATGGAATCGATGATTCCTATACTGTTAAAAACAGTAAGTAACAAATTCTTAGCGTATATCTACAAAGACTTTTATAATCTAGTGCTAATTGGACTAATTATCACTTCTCTTTCATGACATGCTGACTACGTGTGCATGTGATATAAAATTGATTTTCTTCTCTGAATTGATCATGCAACGGATCTTATTTAATAGACATACACTTTTTACTAGTGCCATTCACAGTCACTTTCTGTAACTCCTAAAAAATTATAACGGAAATCGAAAAAAATTGATTTTATGTCAATATTAAAATTAAATACGCATGAATTACTTAATGCTTGTGACTGCATGTTAATGGATTTCAGCAAGTAAAATGAGATTCAATTAATTTATTTCCATTGATCTTGAATCGGAAAGAAAAAAAGGCAGACTTACGAAAACAATTAGATAATTAATGCCACCAGAGAAAAAAAAATTACAATTTGATGAAAAGAACAATTAATGATGCTATTGGGAACGTGCTAGATGATGCTAGATTTAAAATTGAATAATTAAAAGTTGTGAATGTAGAAATCAGTGTTTGTTATTTTCTTAACTAGGTGCTATAAATCTTTAAAGTGATGACTTACATCAGTTTTAGTCATGCTCTATGATTAGAGACTGTGAAAAGGGTTTCAATGTACTCTCGTTAAAGAAGTAGATTATAATCGCACGAGAAGAAGAATTAAAGTTCTAGGTACGGGTATAGATTTTTTTTGATCCAAATTTTAACAATAAGTGGGTTCGAGACTGTTTTCTAGCTACTTCTCAACTTTAGTGAACTTGCTGTTTTGGAGCTTAATTATTATTAAAGATCCAAGAGCGTTTTAAATTTAAAATTTTTTGAGTGAACCAAGAAAGGTAACCAGAACCTCAAAATCAACTCTTTGGACTCAACTGATGCTTTTTTCAATTTAGAAAAGTTTTCAATCAAGACAAAAATTCAAAAACGATTATTTTAACCTTTGGCTACACCCAAACCTAACTTGTTATCACTTCTGCTTAGTTCCAAGAAAACCTTTAAGCTATTAAAAAGAATTCGCAACAATGAATTCATTTCAATCAAAAATTCTTCATTCAATAAATACTTGAAGCTACTTCTATTGAGTTATTTAAACACAGACATTACACATTGATGAAAATTTCGTGAATCATTCATGTAAAAATGGAAGCAATATCTCAATCCTATAGCTGATAAATAAACAACTCAAATAAAAATCTAACAATAATTTAAACAGTTAGTAAAGCTATAATAAATCTTTCAAGCACTCAAAAGCAAAGTTCAATAAGTAAGAAACTTGAGAGATCTTGCAACAATTGTCATTAAGTTTCTATGACTCACACAATTACGACTTTTCATCGTTCAATAATTATAATACGTATTTACTTCTTTTAAGTATCGAAAAAAAAAACAACGGAGCAAAGAAAGATCAAATTTTCAAGGGCAAAAGTGCAAAAAAAAGTTGTTACTGACTAACTGCTTGATGACATCATCACGAAATTCAATTTTTTATTTCTTTTTCTCAATCATCATCATCTGCTGAAATTTAAGTCATGCAAATATAAAATTTTGAAGGGTTTCCATATCTCGAATGAATGAAGGGAAATTAATTGCATTTGATTGCATCTCGACATGCTATAAAGAACAATAACGAATGCTTGCATCATTTTCAGCTAATCTCTCATCATTAGAATGTGAATAAAATGAGATTTTTTTGTTGCTTTAAATCATTAAAGTCGACTTAAATCGCCATTCCATTCCGACATTCTTACTCATTTGGGTATTTACGACTTTGGAATAAAAGATTTTCGCAAATGGAATAAAAATCCATAAAGAAAATAAGCAAATCGAAAGACTTTAATGCGCGGCAATGATGATAAGCTATTAAAATCGTTAATTGTTCATTCTTGGCAAATAAGACTTTAAAGTCATTTATTTTGATAAATTGAGGAACTTGCCTAGACGTAACCAAACAATTTCCGATTTCATCACATGATTAGCAGTCGTACGATAGACGAAGTCTTTTTTTGGGGAGGATGTGATGATTAAATTAAATAACTTTTTAAATTGTCGACATGATTGAATCGTAATTTGATCATTTTTATACGCGGTTTCCTGTTATATTCTCATTTTACATCCATATGTGTATTTCGCACGCCCAAAAGTGAAAGAAATGATGAAATATACTTTTTTTTGCAATTACACGCAGTTAACAGCAAATCTACGCAATAATTGAGATTATTATGTATGTTGGAATGTTTTAAATGTCCTAATAATGCCTATCGGCTTTACCTATGCTGCTAATGTTAGCTAATAAATATTTATTCCATCTCTATATAGTCAATTCTAAGGTGTGTACGCATATATACGAGAGTAAGGCACGAAAAGAAATTACATCAATTTATTATGTCTACAATAGAGCAATAGAGACATAGGAATGGGTTTTTCAGCCTCGCAGACAATGTAAATGACGTCATTTTAATGCAAAGAATTGCTCTCATACAAAAGCAGCTTATGCTGATTGGGTGTTAATTTAGATCTCATTTATTAAAAGATTTCGCTTGTTTTTAGATCAATACTATAATTATTGTGTTCGTTTATGCTTTCGACACATTTGTTGATTGCCTGCGAATGTGAATATATTTTTTGTGGAAGTATTTGTGTTGTAAACTAGCTTAGAAGTTTTAAATTAATTTTTAAGAGATCAAAAAATCATTTTAAAACTTTAAGGGATTTGAAAAATTTGAAAAATGTTTCAAAACTTTATAAATTATTCAGAATATGATGATTCAAAATTTACGTCAGAGCACTACAAAATGTACTTTAGAATTGCTATAAAACCTTATTTTAAACCTTACAAATCCTTAAGATATTTGAATGTTATAAAACCGTTGACACATTCCGATGTGAATCAGATCAAATATAAATTTTATGAACGACTCTTTATATAAAACCAATAATTAGTGCTACTCAATAAATTTTTATGCAGTAACACTTAATAATTATCATGTGAACTTGTTTTGGTAAAAAGGATATCGACCACTTTGGTGTTAACATATACAACAACTTACCAATTCAAATCAGGAAGTCTGTTCACATCCATGCTTTCAAATATCGTGTTAGGCAGTTTATCTCCAATGACCAGTTCATGTCGAAATGCTTCAACAACAGCTATTTAAAATCATTTGGATGAATTTCTACCTAAAATTTTGCACCAATTTGAATTACTAATAATTTCTTTTACAAAGTTCCTTTAATTGGATATTCCTTACCTGATTTATTGTTATTGTGGAATCTGTTGTTGATCTTAATGTTTTCCTATGAGTATAGTTTTTCTTAAGCCTTGTATCTCGCCAAAAAGATTAATATCTCAGTCAGTCGAACACCGTTAATCTCATGTCATTCACTTTTTGAAAAGCTCGTAGCCAAAACACTATTCAATATTCAATACTCCAGTACGTCAAAATTTTAAATTCATTTTAACTGTTAAAGCCATAAATATGTTTCTTTTAGTTATAAGTTCTTTAACGATATCAACATATCATTGTAACTTAATTTAATTATATGCATAAAATATGAAAAGGCTAAGTAAGGTTTTTATGCCATCTGAAATAGTTTAAATACTTTTCACATGGCTTTTCCTTGCGAGTAATAAATAAAATAATAATAATAATAATAATAACTTTAAGGCCCCGAATTGACTTTCAATGCCTTAATTATTTTCAAGTCCACACATGAGATCTATTCTTCAATTGTTCGGAATGTACTTAGTATATTGAATTATGAATTTTTCCTGAACATATTGATGATGAAATGCATTTTCCACTCCATTAATACATAGCATTGAAAATCATTTTTTAAGCTTTGTTCCTACTCATGCATTATTGCTCAATTTCCTTTCCTCAAAAAAAGCTTCATGAAATAAGTTATTATCGTGTATTTATAATTGTTTTCCGTATATAATTTCCTCACGATATTATTATGTGCCAGATTTTTCAGCAACAACAACAATTGTGTTCAATAAGTGACTGATAGATGCTGGTATCTGTTTATTAAAATTGAATTTTTTTCGGTGATAATTATGTTAAGTCAGTGAATGAAGAAATCTCAATTATTAAGCATTAAATTTGGCTTTTCCACTGAATCATAATTTCTCTCTTTCTATCCAGCATGTTAAAAGAAAAGACAAAAGAAATTGAAGATTAAGCACGAACATGAGAATGAATCATGCTGTATGAACAGCCATATAAATTGGCATAAAAGAAGATTAAAAATTGTATATATATGCATAAGTATTCATGTTGAGAAAACTTCCCGCGTTTGTGTGGCTTCTATCATATGTAAATTGAATACCTGTATGGAATTAAAAACTCGTGCATGTAAATAATCAAGAGAAAGACTCTCTCAAATATGGGTAAAATTTAGCACATTCATAAAAGGCTAAGTAGAAATAATTGCTTGAATAATCAATTTTTTTTCATGAATGAAAGTTCTTCATGAGCTGGGGATGCAGTGTTGGTGATTTGATTGACTAAAGTTGGGTAATTTGTTTATTTCAGGTAAACGACTTAACGTACTCTCACTCTGTACTAACCCTACCTTCGTAATACACTTGCCCTATCCCGGCAGCTATTTTAAGGTTCTTAATGTTAAGCTCAATTCTATTTGTTACTAGTCCTCATTAAGTTTTGTTTATTTGAGTCGAATCTCTGTCACCAATTAAAATGTCCTTGATTTATGTCAACCCAAACAACTTCAAGATAACAACACTGACTGTCAGCATGTTTGGAATTTATTGTGTTTAAAAAAAATGAAGCTTAAGCAAATAAGAAATGAGCACGTATGTTTGTAATACAATACATTCATTCATAGCCATATTTTCATTGACAATATCCTACGATGATGCATGTGCTGCTGCTTACTTTACATACTACAAGATGAATAAGATCATTGAAGGTGGAATTGTAATGGTTCTAAGAGCTTGGCGCCTTACACAAGCGGAAGCCTATAT